CGTCTCTGAATTGACAACTCGAAGGACCGCTTTGAGTGGATCCCACAGCACGGGCTCCTTTGTGACGGGCCTGTTTCAGCACTGCATCCTCAGGTCACCCATGACGGAGCGTGTCGGAACTTTCTTTCTTTCAAAGGCTGAGCGATATTCCACCATAGTGCACCATCATTGTGTCTGAAGAAAAGCTGTTTCTAGAAACTCAATAAACCGGTGTTTTTCTCCCAGTGGTCCACTTTAGAAGAGGGCGTTCTTCTTTCAGTGGTGTTTGCTAGCTTCTTTCAGGAATGGGCCCTAAGAGGGTCTTATAGTGAGTTCTGCCATGAATCCAGCCTGGTCTCAGATTGTATGGCCCAAGCCAATCTGTGAGATCTGAGGTAAGTCTTAGGAGTCCCATGAAAGATGCCTCTTGGGCTGGTTGCGGTGGCTCACGCCTATAATCCCAGCACTTTGGGAGCCCCAGGCGAGAGGATTGCCTGATCCCATCCATGGGTTCAAGACCAGCCTGAGCAACATGGCGAGACCTCATCTCTACAATAAATTAAAAAATTAGCTGGGCATGGTGGCACATACCTGTAGTGCTGAAGGATTGCCTGAGTCCAGGAAGCTGAGGCTGTGGTAGACTGAGCATGCCACTGTCCTCCAGCCTGGGTGACAGAGTGAGACTCTGACTCAAAAAAAAAAAAAAAAAAAGGCTGGGTTGGCTCATGCCTATGATCCCAGCACTTTGGGAGGCTGAGGTGAGAGGATTGTCTGAGCCCGTGGGTTCAAGACCAGCTCGGGCAACTTGCTGAGACTTCATTTCTGCAATAATAATAATAATAAAAGTTAACCAGGCTTGGTGGTGTGTGCCTGTAGTTCTAGCTACTTGGAAGGCTGGGGCAGAAGGATCACCTGAGCCAAGCGGGTCGAGGCTGCAGTGGCTGGGAGCATGCCACTGCCCTCCAGCCTGGATGACAGAGTGAGACTCCAAAAAAGAAAAGAAAAGAAAAGAAAAGAAAGCTCTGGACAGGTGTGACGGACTTGGGGCGCTGCGGGGACAGAGGGGTGATGCCAGAGCAGCAAGGCAGTGTCCCTCCAGGCCCCTCCCACAGCTCCAAGGCCTGCGGGGCCTTCGGGACACTGAAGGGCCGGTGAGTCCGAGGCAGTCTTGTTAGAAGAGCAGATTTTGTTTTGTTTGGTTGAGGGGTGTGGGTTTCTATTGGAGAAATAACCCGGGCCCCAGTCTTCCGAGGCCTGGGGATGCCCACCATCCCTAGGTCCGTCATCGCAGAGGCCATGGTGGTGGGGTGCGTTTGGGCACTTTCTCCCTTTCTCTGTAAGGCTCCATGGTTTTGGTAGGGATTACAATTTGAGGCAATGACACAGCCCTGAGTCCAGACATCGGCAGGGGCTTGCTGTGTCTTTTCCTGCTGAAAAGCATGTATGATGGCAGAGACATTCTCAGAATATGAGCTAGTTGCCAGACGAAGCCTCTCAAAACCAGGCGTCTTTCCAGGTGACAATCTCCATGACTGAGTCAGAGAAGACGGCCCCCTGGGGTGCAGGGGAGCTAGGAGTCCTTCAGAGCTGGCCTGTGTTTCACCACATGGATGCTGGCTTCCTGCCAGACATGGAGAACGTAGCTGCTAGACATAGCTGGCTCCCTTAAAGAAACCTGGCTCCCTTAAAGAAACCACGATCCCACTTTACAGAAGCGAAAACAGAGAAATCGGGGGGTGATGTGTGGTTAGGTCAGCACATGGGAAAGGGGAGTCCTGTCCCCAGCCCGGGCTTCCTGCCACTGCTGACTATGCCCAGGCATCCCAGGACACAACAGTCAATGCCTCCAGCACTGGACAGGGAGCCCACCTCATCCGAGGGCTGCCTGCAGACCAGCAGGTCCTGAGCTTCCAGGGCTCCTAGTCCAACACTTGAAACAAAAAGGTGTCAAGCCCTGATTAGTGGGGTGAGGTCAGGGTGGCACCACTTCTCACATGCCGTGCTGAAGCTGTTGGCCCATGCCTGCTGCACTCTCCTCCACGGGACAGGCTCGCTGGCATTGGTGTGTGGGCAGTGAGGCCGTCCCAGCCGCTGTAGCCCCTCCAACCACAAGGGCAGGTTCTGGCCACAACCTGGGCAGACGCCTTTCTGACCCCACTCAGTAGGTGACGGCCAGGCCCCCCTGTGGTGCTGCAGTGACCACAGCTCAAGTCCCCTGGAACTGAAATCCGTCTCCTTCCACAGTGGCTTGGCCCAAAACAAAGCAGCACAGCCACAGAGCCAGAGGACACTGGCCCGGCCACCGCACCATCCCCGACCACGAGACTCACTGTAGAACCAAGCCACCCCGATTGCTTCAATGAGCACTCCAGAGAGGATGGACATGCTGGCCAGTCTCCCTCTCCATAGAACCAGGCCAACCCGAGAGCGTCCATGAACATTTCTTAGAGGATGGGCATGCAGGCCAACAGCCCCCCTGGGACTCACCATAGAACCAGGACACCCCGATGGCTTCAATGAGCACTTCTTAGAGGATGGACATGCCAGCCAGTACCTCCCCACCAGGACTCACCGTAGAACCAGGCCACCCTGATAGCTTTGATGAGCACTCCTTAGAGGATGGATATGCCAGCCAGTCCCCAACACCAGGACTCACTGTAGAGTCAGGCCATGCCGATGGCTTCAATGAACACTTCTTAGAGGTTGGACGTGCCAGCCAGCAGCTCTCCCAGGACTCATCGTGGAACCAGACCACCCCAATGTCTTCAATGAGCATTTCTTAGAGGACATGTGCCAGCCCAGCCAGTCCCCTGCACCCCCATGACTCACTGTAGAACCAGGTCACTCTGATGGCTTCAATGAGCACTCCTTAGAGGATGGACATGCCAGCCAGTCCCCCCTCCCAGGACTCACCGTAGAACCAGGCCACCCCGATGGCTTCGATGAGTACTCCAAAGAGGATAGACGTGCCGGCTGCGAAGTGGTCCAGCAGTGTGAAGACGTAAATGCCACCCTGGAAGAGAGAGAGCCTGCTGGACCCATGGGTGTATGTCTCCTTGGGGTGAACCTGCCTGGCAGTCCCTGTGCAGACTTGCCTCACCTTCTCCCACAGAGTCTGGGGTGAGCCACTAACATAATATCCACATGCAGCAGAAGGTCTCATCTTCCTTTCCCTGGGCTCCAGGAGACATCCAAATGCTGGGTGGGGTGGTGCCTCCCTAGAGGGGACGTGGCCCTGGCTCTCTGCCCTCATGGGCTCTGCCATCCCCAGCCCTAAAACCCTAGAAGGAGGTGGCAGCTTCAGCCTTGGGCAAGGGGGAGAAAGGGCTGTCCAGGTGCTGAAGCCACTCTGGGACCAGTTCCGGCCTCCTAGCTCCCAGTGTGGGGTTACAGGCCCTGCAGGGGGTGGAGGAGCAGTCGCTTAGAAATGCTGCAGTGCCGTCCAGTCGCCCGCCCCACAGGCTGCCCGCACCGCATGCTGGTGGGATGTTACCAGGGGAAGATAAAGCCGCCCAGGTACGCACATTGGTGACGCAGAACAGCGAGAGGAGGAAGGTGGCTAGGACGATGGCAAGTGTGAAGAGCTCACGGTGCCGGTGCAGCAGCTGGAATTCATCGACGAGCCCGGTGATCACTGACTCCATGCCTCCCATCTGTGGATAACGCGGGAACGGCTGGGGCAGTGGCACAGCCCGGGCTGGACCTGTGACTCCGTGGACACGCATCCAGGGATGGACACGGGATAGGGACCCCACGGCCGTCCAGGGTGCAGGACGCCCTTGGCGGGGGTTCTGACAGTGTCACCGTGGGAGGGGCACCTGGAGCATCCACCCTTCCCACCAGCTGTGATTGGCAGCCTCTTGAAGTCCCTGGCAGGTGAAGTGGCCCGCAGTGGAAGCAACCCTATCCACAGCCATGGGAGGGCATGGTGGGCGGGCCCCTCTCACCAGTGGCTTGGCCGGATTTCCCAAAATGTCCTTCTCACAGCACCCCTGGGGTATGTCTGGCCTGAACACAGGCTGTGTCCCACCACGGGGCTAACGGTGTCCCATGGGGCGTCGCCAGGCAGCCCTGACCCCTGCTCAGCGACCTCACCCTTCTCTATGCTCTCAGATTGGGGTCATGGAGGCCTGGGGACCACCCTGTGGGCCATGACCCCACCAGGTAGGGACGAGGTGGGTGGAAGTGTAGAACCGGCATCTTTGTGGGAAGGGATTCTGGATGCTTCATGCCTTCAGGCCCTGGCCCGAAGCTGTGGGTCTTGAGCAGCTGGTGGGAGGAGGGGCCCGAGGAGACCCTGCAGGCCCAGGGTGGGGGGCGGG